TGACGATTGATTATGAATCATAAATGCAGCCTCTGGATAACCCGGGTGAACCCGTTGTTGGTTGCTGAAGTGCTATTTGGGGTTGCGTAATGGGGCACGAATTGTAATGCGGTCGTGCTTGTCGCTTCCATGCCATGTTCATTGATTGAGGCCCAGATAAAGTGTTCCTATTATTTTTCATTCTCTTATTCACAATCCTATTACGACAGAGACGTGACTTAATAAGCACATTATGTATGCCATTGCACACCAATTAATACACACACGGGGCTCTGTAATCTGATTGGCCTGTGGAGGCACAACCTTGGTGCATGCAAAATCCTACCATGACATTTAAATGCAAACGTATCCTCCAGAGCCCTGCGCAAGTATTTTAGCGATCTGCCGAGTATCTAGGATTAAAGGTTACCCTAAGAAAGTCTAGTTAAAAGTTTGAAAATGAGAAAAGTTGTTTAAATTAATGCCTCCCTATCGGAGTATCTTAACCAGCTGGAACTGGTGGCAGTACACTATATGATGAACATGATAGCGGATGTTGGTGATGTTTGGAAGCTAGATCAGCTGCCACCTACAAAAACATAATTCACAAGACTGTTACAATAGCGACTCGAGAATACTCTGGAGACGAAAGAAAATACGAGGGCAGAATATGCAAGAGGGCTGGTGGGGGTGACAAGCCCATCCGGTGAAGGTACAATGGCGAAGATCCACAATGGCTCCTTTTAACAAAGCTAAGAGTTAAGCAACCAACTTATTACATAGTCCCTCTCCACCTTTAAGCGTCGTCCCAACGTCCCCCCTTGGTCAACCTCCCGCGCCGACCACCACAGCGTGTTCGGTGCGGTAAGGGAAACATCCATGAACCAATGACGCCATTTGCCAAATTTGCGTGCCACTAAGAAGGTATCTAACGTCAAAGCCACTGCTCCGTCTTGTAAATTCCACCGGACTTAGAGATTCGCTCGGTATGGGAACTGGATTCGGGGACGGAGGAATGTACTGGTCCTTAGCTAGCCCTAGGAACACCAGTTTTAAAAGGGTCAATTAACAAAGGACGGAGTTTAACATGGTTTCGTGGAAATAGGGGTTTGCGTTTATTCCTCCTTGCAAACTTATCCTCACTTAAGTGCTGCCCAGCCATTTCAATCTAGGTTTTATCAAGCTGGCAGAGGAGTGGAGGAGGTATTCCGTGTTTACATACTTGATATCTTCGTGCAGGAACGGTGGACAGCTACGCAATAAACTCTTTTAGATGGTTTAAGGCTAATGTCGCTTCATTTGTTATTGGCTTTCCTGCAGACCATGGAAATGGAGTAGTTGTCGAAGGTAGACACCTTTTTCACTCCTGTTAGGGGTCGTCACCGATTCTTCCATCCACAGCAATGTGCACTTCTTCGGTCCCGCTAAGGTTGATCACTCAGCAGTGGAAATTAGGATAGATGTTCTTCATGCTCTGGTTCGCTTTTGGCTGCCACCAATGTAGCACCCTAAGACTTCCCTGAGGACGAAAGCAGACATAATGTTCGGGCAGGATACATTTATTTGACGTACAGAGGAGATTGGGGCTTCTGGCGTGGTACAAAGCCAGCCCACCTGTCTAAGGTACAATAACGGAGCACCTAAGTGGCCCCTTTACCAAAATCGAGAGTTGAAAAAACACCTAACGTATTGCATTTACAGCACAAATAAAGGTACCTAGTGTATGCTTTTTTATTAGTTTAATCTCAGCTTATCGATAAATATAGTAGTCATGCCGATATCTTAAACACCCTGTTTGAAATAGTGTGGGACTTTTTCTTGCTCACTGAAGCTGATAGGTGAGACTAGAGAGGCTCTGTAAACTCAAAAAAAGTACACCTGTCATGTCGAAGTAACTATCCGAGATAGTCAAACAAATCAAGTTACTAGCACTCATCACATCACCGACCACACAACCGCTTATAGGTTTTATGGGTTTGAAAAAAAATTTGATGAATGGAGTGTGGTGACGATGTTGCGCCTGCGGAATTGGCCATATTTGTCGGTAGGGCTTAAGTCCCGCCCCCTACATTGAAAAAGTTGATAGCGGAGACACTCTAAGTGATTTAATAGAGAGTTGCATGATTATTAAAAAAAGATGATGAAAAAGTTAGGACATTTGTCGTGCGGTGGAATAGTGCTTGTTATAAGTTAACGCTCAACTGCAAGGCATCATTAGTCTCCGAAATTTTCGCTTATTATCTTGGTGGTAGAGCTCAGCCCACCAGCCCTTCCATTGTCTTTAGTTCAAACCACCACAATCATTCAAGATCTACTGAATAGTGTAAAAAAGTAGCACAAATCCAAAACTAGCTGGCCTTAAGGCAAAATTAGGTGTGCATGTTAAGTATTAGGGATCATTGAAAACAGACCATCGATCCTCCTCAGCAAGTAAGCCTGCCCACTCCAGGATGATGCCCTTCTGCGTGTCAGGGGTTAAGGAACATTATATCCGCACCGTGGTTAACAAAATGTTTTGTATACATCGTTAAAGAAATGATAAACTGCCTAATAGTTTAAGGGGCTCTTAGTCAGTAGACGTCCAATTTGTTCTCGCCACTACAATGCAACTCCATCCTTTGTTGGACCCCAGGGCAAGCCGACACGAGAAACGGAACTCGTGCATGGCCCCCGCAACCCCTACTCAAATTAGTGGCATCACATTAAATAATTTGGCATAGTGCTTAAAGTATTCCCCTAAAACGGAGATGTTACTTTGTGGTATCAGTTTCCCGGATGGTTCGAAGCAATCGGGAATGTGATTGAAGTACTTACAAATGGATGGAATTGTGAAGCTATGCAACCTTTCATTTAAGATCATGTAACAGAATTTTACGTGCTTGAGCCGTATGTCACAACCCACGGACCCTTCAGTCTCCCTTAAGTTTCGGTAGCCATCTTGGGTGCACGAGGTACAGTTATCATTCTACTTGCGGTCCATATACGTGACGCTCCGATGTCACGAGCATACAACACGTGTTCCTTTTCAGTTTTTTGGCGACTGTTTGGACCATTTTGTACCGAAACCGAATTGGTTGACTTCAAAACAATAAAAAGGTGTGAGGTCTTCTTAGTCTGGGCACACACTTACTACCTTGGTTGTCGAATAGCGGTGGAATTGATAAAAAAAATACTACTGACAATTGGCGCAATATGGGAGCAGTGAAACATCCAACAGACTAATTTACAAAACCCAAAACTGACTGCAGATGGGTATGAACAGTTGTGCTGCTGTTAGCATCTGAAAATCACCACACACTTGTCAGCAGTCGAGCTTGTTAAAAATTTGGCGCTTAGTTTCACAACTTGCCACGTTCGGAATGAATTCCTCTTGAATACGTAGTTTAAACCTTACCACCTTTAAGCGGATTGCCAAATGGCCATCAGTCGTTGGCCTAGTGATTACACTAGAATGACACAAAAGCGTCAAAGCCATAGCGTACACTGAAAACATGATTGATTGAAACTGTGCGTAAACAAACTAGTCAGTTTTATGCTACCGTGCTGGCGATTAGGAATATCCATCTCTAAGCACCCGTAATGCCATGCTTTACAACTTTCAACATGGCCTTTACACAAAAGTCAGCAATAAACGTTTGCGTCAGGTAAAACGCCAGTATGAGTAGAATAAACAAACAAGAGCAACTTTTGAGGGAGGCCCCACAAAGGCTCTTAGGAAGGTTGACTACTTCCCAGGAGGCATTACAGGTGTCCAAAATAGCCTTCAAATATAGGCAACTTGGAGGTGTAGCTGTCGCATTTATTTAGGAATATTAAGAAGTAGCAACAACAGTCGAAGAGGAACCAAGGGACCCAACGTCAGAATGCGTCACGAGCAGGAGAGGGCCAGCAAAGTTGAATCGAAGAAATCTAAATGTACACCCGTCTACGTGATACGCGGTAACATTTATGGTGTCATTGAATGCAACAACACAGTCCAACTTTGTTTCTCTGCGCATTTAAAAGTGCTTGCCTGTTTTACCACTTCAAATTTAATTCAAAATTTTATGGCATTTGGAGATGAGATGGCGGTACAATACACCGCTGGAAAATGTTTTAGATGAATACGTTGATTGTAGTGATGAATTACATGCAGAGAAATCACGTTTAGAAAGACCCTCGATTCCCAAGCATGAGGAATTGCGTCGACATGGAAGATAATTCACGATAGTTTGGTGCCAATGTGCCAAACGACTTCCGGTAATAAAAAAAGTGGCGTGAGTGATAATAAGACGACTAGTTCACATCTGCATCAGCTAAAGTTCTTAAAACCAGGCAAGCAGAGGTCACCTCCAATTAACAGATGGCAATAACCTCCGGACTGTCAATTTGTCCTTCACTTCCTGCGAGTTGTAAGAACGCGAGGCTGCTTGTGATATGAGGCGCCTTTTGCATTCCAACATCAGACGTATGAGCACACCGTCGATCTCCCCTGTACGGCGCACTCGCTAACCCCCCCGCAACTGGCGAGACAAGCACCCCGCATCCCCGAAAGACAATCCCTTGCGCGTGCGGCGGAGTTCAAACGGAACCGACTACTCACTAAAAGCCAAGCAATCACGGTCCCGGTCCATCAGCCCGATGTACGGGAGCCCAAACGCGCGCCAAAAAGATGCTACCAAAGTCGGTCAGGTGGGTTAGCCGAAAGTCCAATTATTCTAGACTAACACAAGACAACAAAATTCATGGTACACATTGGGGCGGGGAGGAGAGACTACCTCATTCTCGCGGTGCTTCACCAAATGACTATCAATTCTTCCCGGTATTAGAAAATCACCTACAAAATAGTTCATTTGGAAGTAAGTACAAAACATGACTGTGCGCCGGGGGATCACGTGTATGTGATGTTGGTGGTGAAAAAACTAATAGAATAGGTATTTCTGTAATTGACGGTAGGATCTGGAACCACGTGATAAAATTTTATTTGTACAAACACGTGTGAAAATGACAGGGTCCAGTAGCAGCAGCAGCAGATACGTTATTTAGAAGGGGGTAGAATTCGCATTCACCATCATGCGCGGTGCGATGGACATGGACATGAGCTCTTGGAAGAGAAGCTTGCAGGCATACGGTAAAGCCACTTGAGATATCTACAAATAAACCAGGGAAGTAACAGTAGCCCAGTCAAAATTAGTCCTTCGCACGCATTAAGTCAACTCTGAATTTACAAAACAGTGACCCCAAAATGAGGCGGCTGTTAGTGTAATCAGCGGGCAGGCTGTGTAAACATTCACAGAACTGATTTGTGCGAAGTGGTTGACCAAAATAAGAACGCGAGAGTGGGGAAAATATTTGTCAAAATGTGTGTGGAAGGTGATCAAAACGAAGTATCGTTCGTTAAGTTAGGACTACACCCGCATTGGTTTGAATTACAGTTGATCAGGTTTCAACCAGAACTGGAGACGCACGTCTATTGGGAGTGTAGATTAAGTAACTATGATAACGAACACGTTTATAAACTTGTAGCCAGTGAAAGTGCGGATTTAGATTGGCCCATTGTAATGGCAGCGAAAAATAATAGTAGAAGCGAATCTAATAAAAAAATTAAATGCAGAGCCCAAATCAGAGAAAGTGACCAAAAACGATGACCTCCTAGCTCCCAGCCCGACGATCACACGGTACAAAGGTATGAAGAGGAACTGAAGCCACCTTTGGGTACCACGCGCACGCGCAGATGTATCACTTCAGTCAGTATGGAATAATCACCCCGGTGTGCCTAAATTCCCACCTACCGAGAAGGCTAATTTCTACCAAAGCATCACCTAACAATAAGCTCACACCGAACAATAAATTTAATAGCATAAATGTCAGAATGTGGGGAAACAAAAAATGGTAGCTAGTTTTGTGACCTCCTTCTTCCACAAAATGACGCAACTGCATCCTAATAGCTGAATCAGATATCAAATTCGTACAGAAAAAGCTGTACAGAGTTGATAAGAAACACCGATTCCGCTTTAAAGATGGCAAAGCAACAAATGAACACGTCTCCACCTGTACTCTTCAGAGCGTGCATGAGAAAGAGATGGAAGTGATGGGACAAACCTAATCGCATACATTTACATAATAGTGAAGATTGGCGTAACTCCGCAAGGGCACGTGCACAAGCATGAGCTGCAAATTTCGGAACCTTGCTAATACCAAACAACTACATTTGCTCAGAACAAATAAGAGCCAGAAAGTTATTTAAAACACTCAAAACACCTTAGCATAAAAAAGATAGGGATAAATATAACACGGAGCAAACACGGGAGCAGCCAAGTTTGGAAGGAAATATTTGCTACCATGGTAAGAAGAACCAAAAATGGGATTAGAAGACAGTTACTATTTCTGATATTGCATGTTGATATTTACCTTTATGGGAAAACATCATTCCGTTTACCTTTCCTGATTTACGCAATGTCGAACAATAACGCTACGCATTTTCACAGAAAGGTAAACACTTGCATGATCAAGCGACACAGAACTCCATTTAAAAAAGAATGAATTTACTAATTTCAAATATATGAATACGAATGCAGAGAAGCATTACCATATATTAACAAACTTTTAATAGGTATGAAAGTTGGGAGTGCATTTATTGGTACAATCACTCAATCACAGATGGATATTCATTCAGTTACCCCAATTGATACATTTTAAATACAAAGGCAGACCAGAGAAATTACTGCATCTACCTAGCAATTAAAACCCAGAACAAAAGTGGGTTTATGGTTAAAAATAAGATGGCTATGTAAAAATTGCGAATATCAGACACGACGAGCTCACCTGTGTGGTGTTCTGGCAAGTACTACATTCGAAAGTCTTGTTGCGTTGATGTGCGATAGCCATCAGTCCGCACAGATTGCACACATAAACTTGATAGGGATCGCTAGCAAAGAAGAGGCGCTCCCGGAGAAATTGGGCTGCACCGTGGGCGATCTGGCAGTCACGTTCCATTTCACCGAACCGTAAGCCACCGTCGCGACTTCGGCCCTCCATGGGCTGACGGTTGAGAATTTGGACGGGTCCACGCGAGCGCGAGTGAATCTTGTCGTCGACCATGTGCTTCAAACGCTGATAGTACGTGGGACCCAGGAAGATCTGGGAGTTGAGCTTACGACCTGTGAAACCATTGTACATGATCTCGTTGCCTGTGTGTTGGTACCCATACTCCTGCAGGAGGAGGGAGATCTTCCGTACGTTCACAGCATCATTGAAGGGAGTGGCATCGCCAATCTCACCCTTATTCGCGCTGACTTTGCCCTGTGGATGAACAAGCGATTCGGCTAAATAAAATATGACCTATCTTTATAATGAGAATTCAGACAGTGCCATATGGAGTGTGCAATTTGCCGAAATAGGCTAAAAAAGCATCGTCTAAATAGGTTTTACGTAAGTTTGAGGACATTGAATTGCGGTAAATGGAGGGATTTTGAGCCGCCACCGGCAAATGCCATGCAGTGCATTTAGAGGTCGGCGTCAGGGCTGATGCAGCAGATACTGCAAGAAGAGATTTTTTGTTTCAGCAGTGAAATCTCACACACATGATAATGAATAAGGGAAGGGGAAAAAGTATAATGGGGATAACTAGTCCCTCTGTACGCATAAGCCTGGGTAAAAATTGTTGTCAGTGAATTAAAAGATGAGGAGTATGTACCCAACGCGATGAGGTTTAAACCGCGGTCAAGAATAAGTAATTCCAAAAACAAAGTGGTTCGAAGTAGAACTCCCATAGTTTAACGATGCCAGCAAGACGACCATAAGCTTGAAAGGCCAGATCATTTATGAAGATGAGCAACGCAAAGCAACTTAAAGTAGCAACTAGTATTTACGGAGAACCTTTGATACTGCGAAGATTCAATTCGAAGATAGCAACAGTCCTAACATCGGACGAATTTATCAGGCAAGGATTTAAGCGTAAATTGCGTAGAGTAAAAAAGGCAAACTAGCAAAGTTGTTGTCGTAAGAAGTTTGGGGCAGTTGAAAACACGACAGCGTTCGTTTTACGGAGCAAGTTCGACATTGGGAAACAAGTGGAATTGTTTTAGATTATTGGTGTAGGCTTACTTGAAGACACTCTATCAGGTGACCAATTGTCATTCGACTGGGAATGGCGTGAGGATTGATAATAATGTCGGGAGTGATGCCCTCACAAGTGAAGGGCATATCCTCCTGTCGGTAGAGGATGCCGCAGGTACCTTTTTGACCGTGACGCGAGGCAAACTTGTCACCAACTTGTGGAGTCTTTGTGGTGCGCACACGCACTTTGCAAAACTTATTTCCTTCGTTGTTCCAGGTGACCATTACCTGGTCCACAATACCGTACTCGCTGCGGCGCATAAATACCGAGGCATCGCGTTTCGTGTAGCGCCTTTGACCGCCATCCAGCTGCAAAAACAATTTCTACTTTTAAATTGTCAGCAGGCAATGCAATTCAAGATCAGATAAGCTGAACTATTGCGGAGCAAGTCCAAACAAACCTAACCAATGTGTCAGAAGAACATGAAACGAACCTCATCTTCATTTTCCGGTAGGGAAATAGTCTTTCCAATAAGCACATCATCCCCAGAAACACGAGTGCCGGGTGCGATAAGACCATCATCGTCTAGTTTATCGTAGATGGCGTGGCGCATGCCCCGGCAAGTTTGTGGATTTGGTTTCTCGAAGACCTCTTCTTGATCCATCCCATGTCTTGCCTCCTGGTCCTTGTAAGTTCGGTAGAACTCCGATCGGAAGAAGCCACGCTGAATGGCACTTTCGTTAACAATCAGCGAGTCCTCCTGATTATACCCAGTGTAGCAGGCGATGGCGACAATGGCATTGATGCCGGCTGGCAGCTCTCGGAATCGCAAATACTCCATGGAGCGTGTAGTAACGAGAGGCTTCTGAGGGTAGTAGAGTACGTTGGCGAGAGTGTCCATACGAGTGTGGAAGTTAGAGATGTACACACCCATGGCCTGTTTGCCCATTGCGCTTTGGTAGGTGTTACGCGGAGATTGGTTGTGATCGCAGAAGGGAATGATGCTGGCACAGATGCCCAGAATCATGCTTGGATGAATTTCGCAGTGAGTGTGAGTTTTACAGTAATTTACTGCGGCCTGCATTTCAGCTGGACCCATAGCAATCATGGCTGTCTCCTCCTCCAAAATGTCAATATATTCCACTACACCGTAGAGTACAAGCTCCTGCCAGCTAAACCAAGGGATAGATCATATAAGATTAAAAAACGGTGCCTAAGTCACAACCTTTATCGATTGCAGCAGTGCAGTCACTTAGTGATGTGGAAAAATGTCAGGAACAGAGTACGCAACTCACCAAAAGCGGTTATAGGCCCTATTCTTTAGCTGATCGATGTGAGTCCGTTTGAGCATGAGCTTGCCCTTCTCGACAATAACAAGCGGGCGGCAGATGCGACCAGCATCGGTGTAAATTCGGATCTCCTGATCGCGATAATCTCTGACCATGCTGACCTCACTCACAATAACATCCACCTGGCGTCGAAGTTTCCGCAGCGTGACCATAAGGTGATCCGGAGAGTTGTGTATTCCGACCCAGCAGCCGTTGACGAAGATTTTACAGGTCCTAAAAGTTGGTGAACACTGGGGAAAGAATATATTCTTACTTCCCAATCGCAGAGGGGGCGATCTCTTCCAGGTTCTCCATACTCCACTCCTCAAGAAATTCCAGAATTGGTGACGGCTGACTCCCAACGGATATGTACGCCATGAGAGCCAAATTCTTAACCAAACCAACGGCGGAACCCTCGGGAGTTTCGGCTGGACAAATCATGCCCCACAGAGTGTTGTGTAACTGACGTGGTCTCGCCAACTTTCCATCTCTGCCGATTGGGGAATTCAAGCGTCGAAGATGCGACAGGGTGGAGGCAAAAGTGAGTCGATTAAGAACCTGAGAAACACCCGGTCTAGCTTGATTAGCCTTCTTCTGGTCTCCCCAGTTGCCCGTAGCAAGGGAGTACTTTAAGCCATCTGTTATGATTTGACTACGAATGGCGTTTTCAAGATTGAATTCCTTTCCCTTGTCGATAAACTTTTGAGCATATAGTCTGATTTCTTTGGTCAAGTTACGGAATAGTCCACGAAAGAGAAAAGCGAGTAGAGGACCCGCAAGATCCAGTCGTTTGTTTCCATAGTGATCCCTATCGTCAACATCGCGCCGTTTAAGCGCCGTGAGAAGGAGACGGTGCACCATGTAGCCCAAAAAGAAGGCCTTGCGAGTATCGCAGTAGTCAGAGATGCCAACATGAGGAAGTGTTTCCTTTTGCAATATCTCCTTGGCATACTTGATACGCTTTTCCTTTGTGACACCCGGCCGAGCACCACGTGAACCGATAAAGTTAAGTGCAACCTTCTGATCTTGGATAACGAAAGCCTCGTCGAGGGACGGCTTTATCATTTCACGCATTTCACTATCCTCAAAGTCGTAGATGATGTGTTCCAAAATGTCGCGATCGGCCACAAAGCCAAGAGCCCGAAAGACAATCAGAACAGGTATCTCCTGTTTAATATAAGGGAGAATAGCGACAATACGTTGACCGATGGTTGCGCGCTTATTGTTGTCTTTACCACCACGCGCCATCATGTTAACCCAAAGCGTGCTAGCTGGACGAGAACTGTGCTCAAGGCAGGATCGAATTTCAGTTTTGTAGGCGTATTTGCTGTCCTTTTGTTGAAATACATAAACTAAAGTCGTAAGACAGAAAAATGGGTAACTACCTGTATTTGTAGCCATCTTCTCTTGAGCTATCAAAACTTTTTCAGAACCATTTATAATGAAGTAGCCACCAGGGTCAAGCGGACATTCATTAAGTTCTGCCAAATCACGGTCGCTCATAACAGCCAGAATACAATAACTCGATCTAACGTGGGTCAATGAATATGAATATCCCCTACCTCAACATGATGGGAATTTTGCCAATAAACTTCTTTTCGAATTTCTTTTCATCTACGTAGCCGTCTCTGGTGACTTTCTTGACAACGTCAACATATAGGGGGGCAGCATAGGTCAGATTTCGAAGTCGCGCATCGTTCGGGGTCATGGGAGCAGAGGAACCATCCTTCTCCCAATGCGTCGCTTTACTAAGGTAAATCTGCTCAAAACGAAGCGCATATTGTACCTAAACCTCATAAAACTAAGATCCCAACTCACCGGCTTTTCAATTATTCCACCTGTATACTGGGCTTCTGCCTGGAATTCTATAACAGGGGAGTCTTCAACAATTTTCTGAACAGATGTTTGAATGAATTCATCAAAAGAATCCAACTGTTGTCGAACCAAACCCTTCTCATCGAAATAACTGCTGATAACAAGCCAACAAGCCTCTTGCCATAAATCTGGGGTTATTTCATCGTCATCTCCATCTTGCACGTTTAATTGCAGAGGGATATCTTCTATGTCATCATCTTGAAGCTCCTCAATGCCCTCTTCTGTATAATACAAATCTAAATTTACAGAACATAAGGGAAAACAGGAGGCAACTACCAGACATGTTTAGAGCCTTTAGGTGTGACCGATGTAAACAAAAGGTCATTACGCATATGCACAATGGGTAGTCTGCTAATAGCTGAACTGGCAAATTGTGCGATTTAATTAAGCCAGGCAATTGTTTTTTTTTATTTGAATTAAGCAAAGTGCAATGCCCTCTGTCAATACATTAAAAAAACCCCAAGGGACAAAGGAAAATACGATGATGTATATAGCTAGATAGATTGCGGATGAAAAACTGTTGCATTTGTATCCGCATGTCTTGATATATTTTTGAGTAGCCAAATAATTTTCGTGACTACCCTCTAATTTTACATTATGACACATTTCCAGAACTTGAACTAATACTGAGCATCAACAGTTATTTTCCCACCATTTATATAACTATAATAAATGACGTATGCTAGTGTGCATTATGAACAAAACCTTAGTTTGTTTTATGAACGACTGTTTATTTCGGAAGTATTTTTTCCCTATTACTCAATCTATTGCAATAGGTCCGGCATTTCCCTGTTCCGCCAATCCCTTCATACCCATTAAATAAGAGGAATGATAGATTAGAACATTTTTTATTAAGTAATGCTACGAATAGTGTACAGCGAATCGCAATTACAAAAGTTTGAATTTTGTCACCACCTTAGGGCAATTGTTTTTCTTGCAGTCATGAGGCATGTGTATACTGGCCACTTTTCACCTAAACAGTAAATTTAAGCAAAGTAATCTTGCAAAACTCTCTTCTCTTTTTTTGAGCGCCATCCCCAGTATTCTTTTGATGAGTGGTCTCTGCATGTGATATTTCGGGTGGTCTTCCTTCTTCCCTTAGTGCATAAACACCGCCTTCGTACCGGACCGTTGGTGTACCTTTGTGCGAGTGCATCCTGTTTTGATGTATTAAAATTATTTGAGTATGGTGTTATATATCCTGTGTACCAGGTAGTTTGTTGTTGAGATGTGATTCATCACTCAAAATGTATCTTTGCTTTTAAGAATGATGGAACTTCCGATGTGCTCCAGGTGGCGGAACGGCTCGCATACCTGTACCAGGACTACTCTGTAGACGTTAGACTGACTGTATTTGTCCTAACAGGTATTCTGCCTGATATATGACCCTCGTAGGTGTTTCCGTTTGATGATAGAAGTTTGTTTCATCCCTTCTTTCAGACTGGGCATTGTGGGTTGCGATTTCCGCTTTTATTAAGAAAATATTGGTTGGTAATTTAAAAGCAAGAACTGATGCATCGTCCAGGGCACAAACTACAGGCTTGTGGCTGTACATCCCTAGTGAAAGCCTTCAGCAGTTCCATCAGAGTACGATTTGCTCTTTTCATCTCTCCATAACCTCGCGGATGTTAAGGTGTAGTGCTTATCTTAGAAATCATGAGGGTCTTCCACAGTTTAGTAAAGAGTTGGCTTTCGAATTTATTGCCTTGATCACCATGGACTGTTTTGGGCACTCCTTGTTAACGAATTTAGCAACTTAAAATTTGAGACAATGGTTTCAGTCACCTATATCTTCACTGGTTCTACCTCGGTCACTTTTGTGAAGCTGTCTGCTATAACAAGGGTATATATGTTTCCTCTCTCTATGGCCCGTAGGGGACCCAAGATGTCAATGCCAACTCCCTTGAGAAACTTGTGCGCATCACTGTGAGGTGAGATCCTTTAAAGCCGCTGTGAGCAACGCAGGTGTGGCTGAGATCAAGTACATATGGGGTGAGTAAAGGCTATCAGCCCCTTTTGCTCGAGGTATACAGCACCTTCTTTTCTCCCAAATGGTCCAATTACGCATGTAACTCTTCGACAACTGCTTGTACTTAGGGGTAGAGAGCCCAGGCGTTCTAGTACTATCTTGGAATAATACAACTTCATCCTCCAGAGATAGTTCCGATCACTGTGGATTTGTAAGAAGATCTAAGCAACCCCCCTTACACCAGAGCCGTGTCAGGCCTGGTACCCTGTGTATTTCACCAACGATGTTTTGTGGGTTCGATCAAAAACTTTGTAGTCACGGAAACATCACCGCTTTCTGTCGGGTCTGGTGTGCGAGAGAGGATGCCTACATTACTTTGTGCATTACTCTTCCTGCACCGTACAATGAGATCTTACTATTGCAGCTCCCCGTACCAAAGTGCCACCGATTGGTCCATCTCCTGCATGGTTTTCACCTAGATCAGCGCCTAGCGATCCGTTCTGACTATGAGCTTCCTCGCTCCCAGGTAATGCCTGAACTGTCTTGTCATCGTAAATATAACGAACAATTCATGGCGGGTTGCACATTTCTATCTCATTCGTTTGTTAAGTTTTGTGCTTAGGTAGGCGATGACGTGTTCCTTTCCTTTGTTTCTTTATAAGAGTACACCGACTGCAGCTGCATCGTGTGTCAGTATCCAGTTTAAACGGCGGGACACCTGGTTCGAAGATTGGTAATACTAGCAATCGCGCCAGCACTTTAAACTCTTCGACATACTCTTTCTCCCATTTGAAACCCTTTTTCCACTACTCCTCCTCCAGTTTATGCTGCGGGCTTGCGATCTTGATAAAACCTTTGCCAAAACGCATGTGGTAACATGATAAGCCCAGTAAACTACGAAGTTCCGTCGGATTTGTTGGTGATGGCCAGGTCCTCACTTGCTTACTGCGGTCTCCGAAAACCGCCATCCCGTCTGACGAGACAGTGTGTACCATGAAGTTGAAATAGTACTGCAAAAATTGACATTTCTTGGGGTTCAGAGTCAAACGTGCGTATGGCTGAGTCTTCGAGTGGGACGCTGTCAATATCATTGATGCTTTCTTTCGGTGCTAAAAAAGGTTATCGTGGCTCTAGTATCTTGGTGTGTGAAGAAGGTTCCTTCCACAAAATTTAGGGCTATTTCAGTGCTACCTGTAAAATCGGCACCAAGAATTACGTCCCAAAATATTTTCCGGAATTCATGTTCCATCTTTCATAAAGAAAGATGGGAAAACAAGGACTTTATGATATCGTCTTTGATACTTTTTTCTCGAGTACTTATAAACGGCCACGTTTTTGAAAGTTACGCATAGTTTAAATAAAGAGACCGCAAATCAAATCTCTTACCGTGTATTAGTTCAAGCACTCGAAGTTGAACACATAAATGACGCAAAAAGTTTACAGAATCATAATTATCGCCTGATAAGCATGTCAGTAGAGAAGACCGGTTTGCCTTAAGGAACACGGAGAAAAGCATAGACTAAAAGTGAACGAATCCTTAGGAATTATGTTAATAAAAACTTCAGGCTAGTGTCACCGAATTACGAAAAAGATGTGTCATTATGAAGTCGTGTATTTTAAAGGAGACTTTTAAATTTAGTGTCTAGAGAGAATGGAACCAACAAGAATTCGAAATTGTGCCAACGTGTCTGCGATATTTCATTGCCCTTGAAAGACAACCCTCGGCGATTACATGTAGCTTAGTAACCATCACAAGCACGTGTTTCTGACACTGGCCATTCCTTTCAAGCTGTAAAAATCTTCGATTTACTTAAAAAAAGAAAATTACTTGCAACCATCATGAACAATAAACTGTTGAGATGGAAGACGGTGTCTTAAGTTTAGCTGACCTGAAAAATTGCATTGTCTTTCCCCCCTCGGTGCGACAAAACAGGCGTACAGGTCATCATTGGCGGTGAATTTCATGACGTAAAAAACAAGATTTAGTACATTAGTCTACTGATGCGATTACCGACGTCGTGTCTGAAATTTACTTTTCCATCACCTAAGAACCACACCTATTAGTTTATTCACATCCATCCTGTTATCACTGTTTTCGCATTTTCGTGCAATTGACGCATCGGCGAATTTGCGTTTGGAAGACGACGTCAGTAATCGCGTCAATAAACAAAGCAGTGAAGAGACACGGCAGAAGGTTCCTCCAAAACTTCACCACCGATTAGGTGTGACCAAGAATGGCATCATGTGATCCATGGCTGCATAGATCATTACTGTTTGAGAAAGGTTGGACATCTTCACCATCACTTGCCTCAAAATGCCCCAGGGTCAAGAAATTGTACCCAGAAGAAGATCATCAGTCTCATTGATTGGAGGCCTTTTGGTGTACAGGTAATTTAAGATAATGTAGATGCTTATAAAATGTGCCAGGGTGCTTGTTATACCTAACACACAGGAAATGGTGTTTGAAAAGTAATTCGGCTTGAAAATCTGATTTGGGAACTCCTGAAATGCTGGCCCTTACGTGCTTGTGCTGAGATGACAGAACGAACAGCAAAAATAGACCCTGGAGGGATGGAATTCTAGAATGATAGGTACCTAAAATTACTTATCAAGATGGATGCTTAGCCGTTTGCAAAGTTAACACTCGCCAAACGGTGAGATAACTGGAATGCGACCGACCTAAAACCATCGTATACGACTAGATGCGATCGTATCTTGACGGCCAGCCGATGAGACTCAAGGATAACTGATAGACCTGTTGGTGCCATATAAGGTGTGATGGAAAACAAAATCTGTCCCGTGAATGTTGTTGGTTGGATACATAGAGGGATGGCGACTGAGAGGCGCAATGCTATGAGACGGTAGTACACCGTCTTGCTAAACTACAAATAACTGTAGTTATATGAACTCTTTGTCACCATACGATTCTTTTTCCAAAGTAGTGAAAAGTCCAAGTGCTCATTTTTTAACGCTTCCAATGCATAGGAAATCCCAAATTTCTATTTTTATCACTATGAAATAGCTTCTAAGCGGGCAGTTCAAAATCGGTCTACATTTCTGGAATTCCTTTTAGTATTTATCAAAGTATAAATGATCAGGAGTGGTTTTTACAAATGGATACTGTCGAATTAACGTATGTCGACTCATTCTTATGCTTATAGCGCCACTGCTCACTGAGCCGACACAATACATCCTAAAAGTTACGATGATTGGCACAGGAGTTCAGAAGGGAAACATGAAAAAGTGGAGCTGTATATGTTGAGGCTGAGGTAAGGGGGTTGAAACAGCAGCGTGGAATTTGAAGTTTCTTGCTAAGAATCAGCCTTTCAAAGTCGAAACTAAATCCACTCTTGATA